TGAACACAGCATTCAGTTTGTAAAACTTGAATTCAGTTCTAGCAATCGGTAGCTTTCAAAATCATTCAACAATTTAGAAACTTTTTTAAAACCGAAGGAAACCATTCTTTTAGAATAAAATTTAAAGAAGGCGTAATTTTCTATCAAATAAATACAAGAGAGGATTTTTCGTGCATGCTTTCCATAAAATATATTTGAATTTATAAAGGCAATGATAAAAATGCATACTATTTAAGAAGCCATTTTTTAAAGAATCAACTTTTTCACAGCGGTCAAAGAGAAACTCCTCACAGAGTCGGCATCCTAACGTGACTGAAAATATTTGAAATTGGACTGCAGGATAAACAGCATTGCAACGATACTCAATCTTGGTTTGCGAGTGATTACCGGTCTTTTTCAAACTGCGGAATGTTTCATGCAGCACTCGCCATACTGTATGTTTTTCCATACATCACTATATCAGGGTTCTCTATTGCCCTTTTTAGAGCGCTTACCCACGTGATGGACAACATCACCAAGAATTTTACCAGTGAATCGTTTGACCGTTGATAAGTGTCGTTGTATTATAATATCAACCAAAAAGCATAAGAAAACGTCGGCAGCTGAAGGGGGTATTCGGAGGATAAGTTTAAAAATCAGCAAGTCTTTTTCAGGCAAAGCTGGAAAACTAACAGACGAATAATAAAGACCGAGGGGAAATGCAGGCATCTAGACATTGTCAGATTATGGGTTTATGTGTGTTTCATAGGCACGTAAATGATGGATATAATAAAGATTTTCCAAATTTAAGTAAAACTTATTTCGATAGGAAGGGAAAATTAAAGATTGGATGTCAGAGTAACACCAAAGTACCGGGAAGACGATATCTCGTTGGCCAGAATGTCTAAGGGCTCAGGACTGTGGGAGAGTCGTGATCGAAATACGCACTGGAATGACTTTTGATTATTCAGTGGAAGACAATTTGCCGACAAGCATGCTGAGACTTGGTGCAGATTATCTTTCAGAAACTAGAGACGTGTCGAGAGTTTGGCATTGATTATAAGGGCGTTCAGTGAACGTTCGTGGCCAGTATGCAACGGAAACTTGACAAAAGGATGTAGCCAATGAACACCATCCGGTTACTCAGCTGCCTTTGAGGAGGAGCAGTCTTTTACTTGGTAGATGTTATCGATTTGCTAGAAGGCTTCAATGGAAAACTATTCAAATTATTTCTCATAGAGAAGGAAATAGTTCTGGTTCACCAAAGCGATTTTAAGCTGGTTCTTTTAAACACAATGCCTGCAAAGTGTGGACCCACAACTGGTGCCGTATGTACTCGGCAGAGGCATAAATCGAATGCTACAGGCCGATGATTTTTGGATCGGCAACTTTTGTAGATGCAAAAGCATGCATAAATTAGGCGAATTAAGCCATTCGTGTTAGCATAATGAGTCGGCCTCTAGGAAACACGATGTACATGTTCCTTTGACAACAATACAACTATTTATTAGTATTTTCGCCCAGAGTTTATCTAGCCAAGCTCAGAAATATGCGTCGACGAAGGGCGGCGTAGTAGCACCAATGTCTCAGTTGCAATCCTTTCTAACGTCTAAGGGTCTTGAGAATTCGAATAGTGAACCAGTTTGATTATGCGCTGAGTAAAGGTGCTCAACACTAAAGGGGGGAAATTCTTTATTTTCAAGTTGGTCCGAATATGGATAGAAAGGATGCAATTCTTTACCTCTATTCTGTCAACGTTCGCTAATCTCAAACTCTGTGCGAACAGTCAGTAAATACATGAGTCAGAAACTTTTACTGCCGGCTCTACAATAGCACAGTCTTGGAAGATCTAAAGTTGGGAGTAATGGTGCCCTAAACATGTAGCTGCGTGCGATGAAAAGTTATCGTATTGGCTTTGAGTCTAGGCAATCGAGATAATAATGCTACCTTTATGTTCACGATTGATAGTTTCACCATGTCCCTAACAAAACTAATTCCTATTATAGCCACATATTTTATGTAAACCTATACAGCTTGATACTCAGCAGGCTATCCTTGATAGTTGTTAATCAGAAAAAATTCGTTGGAGCATCGTTGTTTTACCTTTATTATTTTCAGTGATGTATGCATTGAAGTGGGTAACTTAATCCAAGCATCTTTGTTTTAATTGGTCATCTTCAGTGGCGTATGTATCGAACTCGGTTCTGCGGTGACCGTTTTGGTGGCTAGCAAAATTGGCATTCCGGTCTCCACCACACACTGCAAAGTCGGCTCAATAGTGGTTGTTGGTCGTGCACGCGCAAAGGAGGATGTCAACTGGAAGCTGTTCCTCAATATCATCATCGCCTGGGTTGTAACGCTGCCCTTCTCCGCGGCCATTTCTGCTCTCATCATGTATATATTTACCAAAACCTTAGATGGACCAGTCCAACAGCCCTGAATACAAACGCCAGGAATGCCTGTCAATCCTGTTTGATTCTCCCTGGGGAGCGTTTTGCTTGCTGGGACACAGAATATTTTGCTTCCTCTTCTCACCCGTCCAGTTGCCTATTTACCTCTCTATGCCTCCACCCAAGCCCTCAAAACCACTTCGCTCAACCTTTTCCTTCTCACTAGGGGCTGGAGGAGGCCTGTGTGAGAGAGTGCGTGTGTGCCTTAGAAGGACCCTTTTGGGACCCCTTGTTAGGTCCTTCCTCATAACAAGTTTTCTCGAACTTTGAACATAATGTATCAAATGAAGAGAAAAGTTAATACATTGCTCAACTGATTCCTGTATTGTTTTGTACATTCGGTTGCTCTTATAGGGCCTGCCAGCCTCCGAGAACCCGTGGGCTAAGTGTTTGGAAGCTAGAAAAGAGCTAAAGAGCGTTGTGAAAGAGTATAAGTACAGTCACCAACGTACCTAATGAAATGTAAACCAACATTTTGAAATGGATTTTCAATTCTGAATTATTACATCAGTGGGTTTGTTAAAGCAATGGCCGTACAGCCTACTGGCGGGATATTTCGAATACGTCAGGAAGCCGGGTTTTGAATGTACATCTTTTAGTTTCCTTGCAAAAAACACTCGGTAGAAAATGACTACTAGGTTGTGGGTATTTTTCCATTTCGAATAAACTTCAAAGAAAACATGCTCAAAATAATTATTTTTCCTAAGCATTTAGTGGCAGACCAGGTGTTATGAGAATTCTACATACAAAGGAAGGCCATATTTAGGTCTTAATTTTGTTGGCCAATTTCGGAATAATTTCAAGCCTGATTTGCTGCTGCAGTTGCCTTTAGGGCTTTTCAGTCTCCGAGCCGATTTTTTCCCTGTAACGAAGATAAGAAGTTTCAGATACTATATAGTAATTACAGAGGTTTGCAGTGTATGTGGATTGCATTGCATAATTTGTGAGGGGCGTGAATAAAGGGACGGTTACCTTGCTATTTTAGTGCACATTGCATATCTTACAAAATATAATAATAAGAAACTTTGTTAAACCACAAATTGATACCTTTCCGAGTAGTGCTTATAATGCTGACGTCGTTGGCTATCCAAAAAGTACAGGAAAGTACATTTTATAAAATTCTTTTGTTGCAGATATACTGTAATTTTAAGGGCATCGAAAATCAATAGAAAAAATGCAAAATATTTAAATATTAATATTTTTCAAATGTGGTTAGCACCTTCTGTCGAAAAAGTATACATTGAAAAGCTGGCATCATAACCTGTCTGAAATATAGGATACCTCAAAATCATTTGCACCTTTTAAATCCTAGATACGTTCTTTAAAATTAAATATTCAACAATAATGTGTATGTATTACTCAATCCAATTTGTTGGTAATTTATTTGTAACCAATCTCTGTACCCAATGTTTACAGTACAGTTTGGGTGGTACTGCCTATCATAGAAGGAAAATCCCTAGACTAACAGAAAAATAAATCAGAGATAGGATGACCTTCTGTAAGATGGTCAGGAGGTGAACTGTAGACGACTCGAAACAAGTCGTCTTCTCCGGCGAATCTTTGTATGAACTTTTCCATCCGCTAAACACAAAAATGACGTTATTTGAACTGCAAGTCGTTACAGGGTTGGAGATTTCGAAGTGAAAAAGTGTAGCACTACATTCATGGTGTGAGGAGCAATTCCCCTTGGAAGGCTCTCTGACCTCCACATTGAACCACAGGGTCAACGAGTGAATGGTGAATATTACAGAGGGTCTCATCCATTCGATGCCAATAGGGTAGAAGCTGTCCAAAAGGTCAAATAAACATTTCCAGTAAAGTAAATTGTGAAGTATATTATTTTAGAGACCGTGAGTGTATTATTGGGGTGCAAAGAAGTTCAAAACACCCCTTAGTAAGAAATTATCCCGCACAAAGATAGATATGTCAACGGCACTTAAGTTATCTTCCCTAACTGACATTACAGTTCAGAAAATAGTTCAACGTTTCAGTCAATCGGTCACGCATGAGACTGTTAAGATGTTAAATGCGGGTAATAACCTAATCGAAAGCAAAGTACCTCTCATGAGTTTACTTAAAAGAAGGAATTTCAAAATCAGAACACCCAGCTTCTAATTTTTTGATTCATACTTCTTTTTGTACACTGGAGGAAAGCAATGTAAATTCTCAGGAACCTTACGCATAATAACGTGCCTAAAGCTAGTTAGGATAATAATAAAATGTCCTTTATTTAAGTCAATTATTTCCTTTCCACTATTGCGTTGGGCTGCTTTATAGTTAAAAACGGACGTTGTGTTTTTCAAAAAGATCCGCTGAATAAGGAAACTGTTTAGTCATTTGGGCGATCTTTTGAATGCACTGGCAGGACAGGAATGCAATGCTCATCATTAAATCACAGACAAGTTGGCGCTTTCCGCGCCAAAAGCATAGTGTCTCCTATCACACAACCGAATCTCTTTAAAATTACTAAATTAGTATATAGTTTTCTCCATTTCGAGGGGAAGAATGTATAACAGTACGCGATATCATTTAGTTTAAACTATGAAAGTCGAAAGACTGGGAATAGAAGAAAAAAGATGGCAAGCAATCACGGTAGCAAGACACAGTAGCCTTAAATCGATTATCGGAGCGTTCTTACATGGATAAATTGGTCTCTAGGCGGTAACGGAACGGACACCAAATTGTATAAGCAAAAATCAAACTCGAATCTTCCATAAGTATCAGCACTAGGAAAACATTATGGACTTTAGAGAAAACAGCTTAGACAACCTGCTTCTGCAATGCAAGGTAGCTCGAACGCTGCTATAATCTTAGATATTTTGCCTCAAGAGAAAAATCGACCTAAGTTCATCAGCGCGATTGTTATTATAGTTCGAAAATCATACGCCAGAGTGGCCGCGTTCTGTCTTCCGACTCTGATTCCAGTGCCAAGACCGCGTAAAAATCATCGAAGGTTGGCTGGAGAAAAGTTTCTTACTAGGCGTCATTATGTAAAAGTAGTTTGGTCCCTAAACGGGCCGCGCTGGCCGAACAAAAATGTACTGTCTACGTGATTTACGCACAAATAAATGTAGAGTATCAGAATACTAGCATATCACACTAAACGGCTTTATGTAGTAGCTCAAAATTGGTGACGGTCAGCAATTCATAGATTAGGCGCCCGAATTGTTTCGTTATCGAGTGAAACTCGAGGTTTAATTTGCTTGAGAGGCCAGCGTTTGCAATACGGAGCGCACATATCCTGCCAAAAGTTGTATACACTGATAATAGTAGCAAGCATCTGTCAATTTTTATTCTTACTCAAATTGTATCAGAGGCCTCGTTGATGCCTAACGATCAAAACCATCCACTGCCTACCCAAAATGCAAGACAACACCCTATAATATTTACCAATTTATCACTAATTCTATAAGCAGAACCCACAAAGCGCGCCTGGCCACTGTCCCTCTCCGCAGAAGGTGTGTGGTCCTGACGCGAA